ATATAATTTAATTAGTTAGTTTATTGTGCGTTAGCTGCAGCTTCGCAAACTTGTTTCTTTCTTCTGTACAAAGCTTCAACTCAGAAAGAAAAGGACGCTAAGACATTTTTTAATTTAAATTATTATAGAAAATTTGCACAGAAATTTAACATCAAAATAAAGTAATTATTACCAAAAACCTGTCTCTTTTAAATGGCTTCTGCTTAACATTAATAACTTTAACAGTTTTCAGTTAGGTATTTTAAATTGCCTAGATAAACGCAGTTAATTAGGAAGGCAACTCAGAATGAAATCTACTATGAAAGAGGACTTACAGAATTTCAACAAAATTTTATTTTTCAAGATAACATCCTACAATACTCAACAACTTTGTGGGAGGTCTGCACTATAGCACTTATGACTCATTTAATTTAATTTAATTCTTTTTCTCTAACAAATTTTGTAAATATTTTTAAGTAAAAAAAAGTCGTTTAATACTAAATCGACACCATAGGACGTATGACTTAATTCACTAAAGCATTTTTTATTTTCTAAAGGGACACTTTTAGCACAAACATATTCAATCATCAATATTCCTTCTTAATACCCTCAAAAAATGTTTGGTATCTACGTTTTACGCAATGAGAAAGTTTTGGCTTGTATATGGGAGGAGGGGAACCGTAATTTAGACTGATTAGTCTTCTTTTGATAAAAAAAGAAAACCAGTTTTGGCTTTATGTTTATTTCCCTCATTTTTCCACAACTTATTGTTTATTAATAGGTAATAATCGGTTGAACAATTGACCCAAAACGTTGTCTCTGATCTCATAATGTTCCCTGAGAAAATAAATACAAAAATTTTCTGTGGTTCCTCTTGTTTGATTTGGAAGTTTTCTTTCTGAACTGTTTTTGTATAACTTTTAATTAAATTAGGTAAATGCAGATAATTAACAGTTTGCAAACTATATAAGGATGGAAAAAATAATAAACAGTTAAAAATTAAAAATTGAATTAACTAACAAGGTTAAGAAATTAATTTCTATGAGAATTTAAAAGAAAAAATGTTTAATAACGGATGAAAAATATTCTTCTACTACGTCGAAAGTTAAATAAAGAAATGGATGCGAGCATGGAAATAGACGTAAAAGAACATCAGAAAGTCGTATATGACGAATCGATAAAGAAGTGAATATGGGGCACAAAGCATTTAATAATGTATATTTAAACCACAAATCCCGTGTATAGGTAACCACTATCAGAAATAATAAATACATAACATTATCTATGCGCCCTTAATTAAAATCAACTGTTTGTTTTTCTATTATTTAATTGAAAGTTATTTATCATTTTAATTAAAGGTTCCAATGATTAAACGAGTTGTTTAAAAAACCGTTGATTAATTTTCCAAGGATGCCTCCGTTCCGATAAACGCGTCCAACTGCTTATTTCCGGGTTATATTCCAGGTCGTAAATCATTTTGAACGATGACTCGGTGATTGTTACCCAAATTGCTGGAAATTAATAATAAGAGTGGTTTAACCCTGTCACCGTGGTGTTTCGTAGCACACAGATCAGATAAAAAGGGATCGGCGGTTAGTAGGATCCCCGAATCCTTGTCAGGGGTTGGCATGAATCCCAACCCAACCTGTGGATTAGATTCACGTTGCGATCAATTCGGAATGGTGGCGGCACGCGCCGCGTTGGTTGACCCTTCTCTCACGTCATACATTCAAGCTCCCAACCCAGGTTTCTTATTACGTAATGAAGTATCCCGTGATTCGATGCGATATCAACAGGTTTGTCACAAGTTTCATTTTACAAATGCGCACCCTGACTCCGCCTACGCCCAGTTACCAGCTTCTGTGATGTTTATGGCCCGTCCGGGCGTCCTGTCCTTTGTTCCTCTTTCTTTATTTAATCTATTATTTAAGCGATTTAGCTGTCTTGCTTTCGCACAACCACCACGGAACGTATCGTTACTGTTTTATGAAGCCGGTGATTTGCTCGATTCATCCCCTTTTGCAACGGCTCCCTAATAAAAATCCTTGTTATATGGCGATTAATTATTCAGACAGCGGTGATTGCAATGGAGGGGGATGGGGATTAAGGGTGGAGTTTTTGCAGAGCGAATTTTGTGGAGCAGGCAGTAGGTACACCACTCAGTGCCTCCAAAAAGTTCTAATACATCTAACACGAATAAACTTAGTTTGCAAACGAATTTAGAAAATAAACCTTGAGGTACCTACCTAATTTGCACTGGGGCTTTTCTCTATTGTTTTACGGTAGAGTAAACGCAAGGGGAGAACACCCTGAAAGAGAAATGGCCAATGAAATTTGCTTTACGCCTTTTAATACACCACATGGTCATTATTGATTTACAAAACGACAAATGAATGAAAACTACAAGCAAACGAAATTAATTTTTATATGTATATTCAACAAAATCAGTGTTAATTAGTATGGTCTCAGTTAAAAAAAATGTTTTTAATTCTTTTGGTGATTTAGTAGGTATTCTTATACCAACAAAATGAGTCTAGCAACAAAGGAAAACTACCTAAATAAAAAAAAGAATTGTTTACAATTTTGAAAATGTGGGAGAAAGGGAAAAAAGAGAAAAGATAGTAACCTTAAATCGAGGCTCAAAAGTTGATGCAAGATTACTGTACCTAATAAAATGTGGTAGGTATATTACAATCTAGCTGGGAAGTAGGTCCATCAAGAGGGGCAGCATCGAGTTAGATTGGAGCCTGAGGTTTGTTTGCTATTACACATTCACATCTTGTTTAAATAAATAAAAAAATTTTTTAATAAAACTGATGCATTGACGTACCAGTTGCTAAACAAATTGCGCTTCTGATATTTGATGGGCTCGTAACTTTGGCAATTCTACATATAAATTACTTTCCAACCAAGGGACGGAATGCGTATTTCCCGACTTCAAAAGGTTATGTATGAAACTATAATCCTGAAAACCATAAAAAACATTTTCTTTTTTCTTTTATGCATATCTATAGTTGAGAAGCTTTTGAACAAAACAAAAATTGTGAATTGGGTATAATCTATCTACATTTTACAGGACCTCTACCATATTATGTTAAAGCACTAATTTGTTGGTTTTAGTATGTAAATATAATGTAGGGTAGCAGGTCCAGGAGTAAAATCAAAGTTAGACAATAATAGTTGTTCAAGTTGCTGTTAAAAACCTTAAAATACGAACAATAATGAAGTGTCTTCTGAAAAAGAAACTCTCACTTCGTTACTCTTGTTTAATATTCATTTTAAAAGTTTGTGTTGTGGGAACTTCTTCTCTAATCAGCTTTTTTTTTGTATCTTCCTTAATATTTATTACCCCTTTTTCCTACTGTAATCGTGTGGGGAATGTTTCTAATTCTATTAAATGTCATCAAAAAATGCCTTTTTAAGGATCTTATTTTTTTATAGATAGCACTGCATAATTTTGTACGAATGTTCTATTCTACTGGGGATTCTTTTCCCTTCGTTACGAAGCTTATCTCATATTTTCTCCATTTCCTTGTGTTTAGAATTGTCGATTTGGTAAAAACTAGCGATTTGTAAAGTTAGAACTCGAAGTTTTGAAAAAACAAAATAAATCAGCATTAAGCAAGATTAGGGAAATCACACGATTTACGTTCACTTAAATCCCAAATCGTTTAGACAAACAAACATTTGACCCTCTTCTGTAGGTAAGTTAGGGAACCGTATAAAAAGTCCACTGCCCTAGTTAAATGTGGCGCGTGTCAATTAAGAAGGGACACGAGACGGTGGTTACGGTTTGAATTATTAAAAAGGGTGCAACACAGTTTGCTCAAATTCGTTTTAAATTATTTAATATAAATAAATAAAAATTATTCACCTGCTCTTCACTTAGTGAAAAATAAATATTTTTTGTAACGTTTATCTTCTCTTCATACGTATCTGCGAAATTCCTCACTTGAAACACCTGTGCGTTTTTGAGGGTTGTTAACACTAACTTAATGGTCAATAATTAAAAACTACAAAAATAAGGGGAAATCAGAACAATGAATTTTCTTTTTCGGTAATTTATTTTTATACAGGGTGTCCCACGAGTAATAATGAGCCTGAAAATTTTTTTGAAGCAACCAACATTACATTTCATAGATAACGTAGATATTAAAATATTTCGTTATAATTAGTTAAACATAGTGATCGTATTTTTATTTTTGACAAATTTCTATCAGTCATAATGACTACTCCAGTTTTAGAAAGTCCATCCGTGCACTCTGCGAAGCTTTTTTCAAACATTCTTCATTCATGAGAATCTTATTGGTCTTTTTGCTAACATTTTAGTAATTCTCACCAAATTCCCCAAGATTTGACTTTTGATAAATTAAAGTTGAAGTGTGCTGTTTTCACTATGTTTAATTTATTAAAACTAAATATTTTAATATCCACGTTATCTTTGAAATGTAATGTTGGTTGCTTCAAAAATTTTTTCAGGCTCATTATTACTCGTGGGACATCCTGTATACGTATGATTAGGTATGTATTATTTGTATAGTATTTAAATGAGCTATTTAAATGAACTATTTTTATTCTTTATCCGTTCTAATCAACACATTTTATTTTCTACTGGCTTTCACATAAATTAATTTCACTGTTTATCACAAAAATTATATCTAACACAAGGTTTACTCCAGTAATAATGAATAGTTATCTTATCTACGGTACTATAGTGCGGACTATTATAATGATAAACAACATTGAAATGATAAATTGAAACATAACTGCAAGAGTTGTTAGTTGAATTTGCAATTGTCTGTAAAAACATTGGCATACTTTTACGTTTCAGGCACTCGTAAAGTAATTAATTAGCCTTTATTTATATTATTTATGGACTATCAAGAAAATAAAACATTATGTTGTGGGCTTTTTTAGTTATTTAACTAAATGAATGTTATTATTAAACCGCAAAGCTCACCATAAGTCTCCTTCTTTTGTTTATAACCCAATTATTCAAATAAATATGTTTATTTTTTCAGGCGGAAGCGTCGGCCAAGTTTGGGTGATTCTCCCTTTTTACCCTCACAAAATGCACATGTTTCCGAGGGGTGTAAAGCAGTTAGGCTGGCTGCGGCCTTCCTCTCTGGGGATTTTACCCTCGTCAGTGTGCAGGGGTTTCGCCAGCCCTACGTTACCTGAACTCACTAAGGTAGGTCAGAAATCATATTTGGATTAGATTATTATAGCACCGCTTAATCCGATTCGATTTGATTCGGAAATGAAACTTTTGCGGGTATATTTTTTAATTTCGGAATTGGATTGGTACTGCGATGAAAGAAGCTTATCATGAATTTAATAATGAGAATCGTGCTTCCAGGATCGATATCCTCACGTGAAGCGAGGGGAATTCGCGAAATTGGATCACAATCACTTGAGATTCTTCAGGGAGCTGCTCGGGGAGAACCGAGTCTTGACTGACCCCAGCGACTGTGAGATCTACAATGTAGATTGGAATAGGAATGTTAGAGGTATCTAACCGGTCCTTTAGGAACCACCAAATTAATCATGTCGCTCACCTAAATTCCCTAAATGCGGTCTGGAGTGAATTATAAACACTTCGAGATAAATTATTTGTCGAGACTATTCCAAAAATGCCGTTCCTATTTTATTTACCTCTTGATAAAAAGTTTTTTTTTTCTGTTAATCAGAAAACCAATAATATTTCATCAAAAATTTTTATCATTTGCTAAAATAAGTAGGATTTTTTTCTCGTTGGCTTTGGTAAAATAAATTTTTATTTAATCCGTGCTAACACTGATCTACATATTATAAAAGGCATGGATGAAAATTAAGTCAGTCACTCTCCTCCTCCTCCCCTCTTTTTTGTTACCTACCTCTTTTTATAGTTTTTATTATTACTGTCATGGGCGCCCGCAGAAATTATGGTCAGGGGGGGGGGGGTCAAAAAAAGAGTCGAAATTAATAATAACAGTTTTTTTATTCGTCTGTTTTCATATCACTCAGTTCGTGATAAAAATGTAAATAGTAGTTTCTTATTTCGTTCGTAAAAATTTAAGGTATAACGAGTTTGTAAAAAATCAAAAAATCTTTTTTTATATAAAATAGCAACCACTATTGTCCCCCCTGTGGGCGCCCATGATTATTGTGTTAAAAGTAATTTCTAAATTAACAATTTGTTTCTTTAATCATTCTTGTAATAATACATATGTAATTTTCAATTTTTTTAGATGTAAAGTTTCATTATTTATAGAATCAATTTGCAATTATTAGTAGTTGGTGCGTGAGTTTCAGCACACTTTATAATAAAGAAAGGGTTTTTAATAAAAAATACAAACAAACTGTTTTTATAAAAATGTTTCTCTTCTAAAACAATTTTTTGATAATGATTATTGTCAGATATAGTTTAGTAATTTAGGTTTTCGCAACAAAAATTTAATAATAATGAAACCACAAAAGAGTTTTCAATTAGAAATTAGAAGTTAGTTCTTCCTATACCCTGTAACAATCTTATTCTTTTTTAGACACTTAAAGGCTGCTTTAAAAAAAATTGCAACAAGTTATCATTTGTTTCTTGCTTAGGAAAAAATTTGTTAATTTTTCAAAAATCACTCATGGCAAAATTTCTGCAATATTCTAGGTACAAGTATTTTTCTAGAAAATGCTCCTAAATCTAAAAAGGAGTCGATGTTTCAAAACTATCGCAATAAGAGGCTACAGTTACAGAATAAAAATTATTAAACTACACACTAGAATCGAAATGTTTTGAACTATACTAGACTATAATTGTGCAAAATGTTCCATGAAATCAAAATCTAAACTATACTTTTTCTATGACTAAAATTTAGAAACAATTTGAACCAACTTATCCAAAAATTTATGATTGTTAAGATGGTGCTACCTGTGATAATTCTAACACTAGTGTAAGAATATTCTCGCACAATTAAAAATCAACCAAGACGATTGTTATTCTACATAATAATCGTAGAAAAAGTGTTTCTTAACATTACTAAAATCAAGTGGCTGCAACCAATAGTTTCGGTATTATAAAACAAAATCCGGCTAAAGAATTAAAAATTTGAAGAAAATTGAAAAACTGAAAATTTTAATATCAGTCGTAATGATGTTTTTCAAGAAAAATAATTAAAATAAGAAGATAAGCATTTGTACGATGTGCAGTAGATGTTTCAGTGCAAATTGTTTATTTTCTTTTTATTTTATTTCGTTATATAAAAAAGTTTAGTAAACAATAATCCATGTCTTTTAGTTTCGGACCTTCTTGAAAAAAAATCATTCAGAGTTTTCCTTAGTCCATTTTATTGCATATTTACTAGGTACTCCTACTACGAAAATTCAATTAATTTATCGATCACAAAACAATTTAAGTGTCGTGAAGGGTAGAACCGTAGAACCGCGGCGAAACGCTTGCATTTTCCTGTAAATATATTTAGTATTCAAGCACGAAATAAAGGGTGACTTGAAACGACAAGAGAGACAAAAAACTCATTTCTCCTCAGCCACGTTTTGGCTAAACTCTTAACTGATAAGGTGTGAAAAAAATTTTGTTCTTCATCACAATGTCATCAAATTCGTTCAGATAAGAATCGAAGAACGACCTGTCTCCCATCCCCCTTTTTCTGCTCCGTTGACGAGCTCTATATTTGACAAAGACATAAACTTCTATAAAGTTACCCTCCCTTGTTATTTCCCAAAGCAAGCGAGATGAAAACGTGATAAAATTACAACCATAGTGAAATTGCATTATAATTAATAAAACAGAAATACATATTCGGCATTTTGCTTGCTTTTACCCTTTTATTACCCCAATTATTTCCAGGCTACAGCGAGTGCATCTTGAAGCCGAAAACAACCCAGGAAGTATCTCGAATATTATCCTTTTGTAACGAGCACAAGCTCGCTGTCTCGCCTCAAGGGGGTAACACCGGTCTCGTGGGTGGCTCCGTCCCCGTTTTTGATGAAATCGTTCTTTCCCTCAGTCTCATGAATAACATCATAAGCATCGACGACACTTCTGGTAATAAAAAAATTCAAATTTTGAATGTCTAATCCGCATTTGCAGGCATTCTCGTATGCGAGAGTGGCTGCGTGTTGGAATATTTAGACGAGCAATTAGCCAAACAGCGGCTAATGATGCCTTTGGATCTCGGAGCGAAGGGTTCGTGTCAGATAGGCGGAAATGTTTCCACTAACGCTGGTGGCCTGCGGCTACTCAGATACGGTAATTTGCAAGGCAATGTGCTGGGAATCGAAGCGGTAAGTAACAATTTAAACATGGGGAAATTTTCCTATTTTTTACTCATTTTTAGGTGAAAGCCAACGGCGAAATTCTCGACTGTCTCAGTACTTTAAAGAAAGACAATACAGGGTTCCACTTGAAGCACCTTTTCATCGGCTCTGAGGGCTCCCTAGGTGTAGTAACAAAAGTCGCAATTCAGTGCCCCCCTAAGCCGGAAGCTGTCAATTTAGCCTTCTTGGGAGTCAATTCCTTCGATAAAATCCTGACGACTTTCAAAAGAGCTAAACGTGAATTGGGGGAAATTTTGTCGTCGTTTGAAATGATCGATGAGCAATCGATAAGTGCAGTGATCGACCATTTGAAAGTCAAATCGCCAATCTCGGAACATCCCTTTTACATCCTGGTCGAGACCCAGGGCAGTAACGATGTCCATGACCAGGAAAAAGTCACCAAGTTTTTGGAAAATTTGATGGGGGATGGGGTGGCGCAAGACGGGACTGTTACCAGCGAACCGAGTAAAATGAAAGTGATTTGGGAGTTGCGAGAACGGATAGCTGAGGCGTTTTTACACGACGGTTATGTCTTCAAGTATGATATAACGTTGCCGCTTGAGAAGTTTTATTCGGTTGTTGAGGTGATGAGGAAGAGATTGGGGTCGGAGGTTATTAGGTGTTGCGGTTATGGGCATATAGGTACTAATTTGGTGTTGTTTGAAACGTTGAATGTTGGATTATTGTTTCAGGGGATGGTAACATTCATTTTTCGGTTTGTACAAAGGAATTCTCGCAAAGTTTGTTGAAAAAAATTGAACCGTTTGTTTATGAATACACTTCACAACTGAAAGGGAGCATTAGTGCCGAACACGGAATAGGTTTTAGGAAACCGAAGTATATACATTACTCGAAAAGTGATTCAGCTATACAGCTAATGAAAGAGCTTAAGAAATTGATGGATCCGAAGGGGATTTTAAACCCTTATAAAGTCTTACCATAGAAATATAGATAAATTTTGTTGTACATAATTTAATCTCCACAACATGGAATTATATTTTTTGAATATTTATGTGCACATTCTATATAATATATTATATTAAACATATTTTGTTTTCCTTATTTAAATACTAGTAAGAATGGACATTGAAAATACAGGACAAAGGTTACATTTTTCACTAAATTTGATCCCAATGTTGAGTGACTTGACTTTTTTTCGTAGAAAAATAAGGTCCTACTTTTTTTCAAAACAATTATTAATTGTTTACTCAAAAATGTAACATAAATTTTTTAAATTATGCAACGTTTCAAATTACTGGAAAAGTGCATCTGTGCATAATGTAATTAGTGACAAAATTAAAGAAAACTAAACGTATATGTTAGTTTTGGAAATTAAATATGAAACTCCAAAAGCTATCAAAAAGGATATTTATTAAAATATAGAAAATTAAACTTATCTCCACCATTAATTTCAAAACTGTCGATAAAGTAGTTTAGAACCCTGCCTTTTTATGAAGTGATCAACATTTTAGGCGAAACGATAACCCGATTCGACTTCGGGACTTTGCTTTTTGATAAAAATTAAAGGTAGACTTCAGGGTTATTTCAATTTTTTTCTAGGCCCCAGAGTTTCCGAGAAAAACGCATTTATATCTTTGTAAATAAAATTTTAATGTCTTCCAATTTTCGCACATCAATTAAAAGTGTCAAAATCTACCAATGTTTGAAGTACACATTTTTTCCCCTTTAGGGCTAGTAAAATTTTTGACTTGTTTTTCGGCAAAGCCACGAGCCAGAAGTTGATTGTATCAGAAAATTCCTTCAAATTTGATACAATAGATTTTCTTCTAATAACTGCCGTATTTTATTTATTTATTAGAGAATTCGAAAACCTTACGACTATTTAATTGTTTTTGGCTAATAAACATTCTCTTAATGAAAAAATAATTTATTAAAAAAGTAAATGCATTGAAAAACCCACACAAAAATTAAGCACTAGGCCCTAATATTAACAACTTTGACATCAACATCAAAACTCTCATTGTCCACAAGTATTCTCACTTTAAACACAGTCTTATCGTTACAAAACTGTTTAAAAGAAACCTCAATCATGACCGTTTCCCCCGGCTTTATGGTACCATCATGCGGCTTCAATTTAAGCCCCTCTGGGGCTACATTTGCCTCAAAATAAATAGTTTTCTTATTACGATTGGTTACAAAAATAACATCCTTGACTTTTTCCGGTGGAGTCAAGAAAATTTTGCTAGGTTCCACTTGACAGGTTTCGGGACAAGTTGTACAATCAAAAATTTCAGTCTGTTCACATAAACTAAGATACATTGCTGTTTCATCCTGGAGTTGCATTGTGATAGTTCTGTCGACTTCTTGCTCGATCGTTAGAGTGATTTCTTCCCTGTTTAACAATTGCATGAAGTCTTCAATACACAAAAGTGACTCTCTGAAATATTTCAAATCTTTTGGAACCACTTCTCTCGGGAATCTCTCAACCAATTCCAACATGCAAGGTTTCACTTGTTGCCCCCTTTCTTGCGCTTTTTGACACAATTTTCTCAATCGAGCTCGATCCACTTCGGCCCCATGGACCAGCAATAACTTCCCCATTTCGATAACAACACTCGAAGTTTTCGACTTGACATAACCCAGATCTTTTTTCGAGAGATTACATTTAACCACCACTTGTTTCTCCTCGCCTGGCATTAAAACAGCCTTCAGGGGCTCCACCTCAATATTCGAAAACGTGTAAAGCCCATTTAGTGTAAGATTAAAATGGGCAAAAGCCGGCAAAGTCCCATTATTCTTCAAGACAAATGTTCGTTTCAATTCCTGGTCATCAACGTTCCCCAAAGAACACAAATATTTCCCCGTGGTGTCTTTCACTATTTCTCTAATCACCACATCACCATAGCCCCCATAACCGTACAATTTGATAAACTGCTTGGTTGTTTGTACGTGACTCGGGTTAATTGGAGTGAAGGTGATATTATCAACGACAGCCCCCACTGTAGTTGGGGCAAAAGTGACACAAAGTGGGCGCGATTCGTAAGGGTGCAAAATAACCTTAAGTACACTTGAAAAATTAAGTTCAGAGCCGTCTTTGTGGAGGCGAAACGAGGGGTTTGAGACAGTGCAAGTGATACCAACACGACTCGCTGATCGGTTTCTTACCACGAATTCGCGAAGGCTGTTTTTCCCAGGCTTAGTGCAGCCCCAAATAACTTCAGTTTTAGTCGTAGCAATGGGGAGCTTACCGTTGGGGAGGCTGCTTAACGAACTCGAGCTTCGTGATGACACCGCTGTTCTGTCACCATCGTAGGGAGAAATATTTTCTTTAATTTCTTCCATTCTATTGAAAGGTTCTTCAGGTGTGACATCTTTCTCCACTTGTTTTTCTTGTTCTTCACAAGTTGTGGTTGCAATGGACGGTTTAGTGAGACTTTGACGCTCTGGCTCTGGGGGTGCTTTGAACCTCTTCTTCTCCGGTTTTGCTTTGTTTAGTAAATTATCAAGGGCGGCGTTTGGGGACGCCTCTGACGACAACATTTTCTGTATCAGACTAAGACTAACACTCTCATTTTCGCCAAAAGTGCTATTTCTGGGAGCTGGGCTCCTGTTTGAGGTCTCAATCAAAGGAATCGGTGCTTTAAGTTCTTTGTTTGGACTTTTCGCAAACAAAATCGGGAGTTCATCTGATCTGTGCTGAAAGAAACTCCCAATTGACATTTTAAAATTATCAGAATTTACAGAAAAATCCTTAATCTCCTCTGGAAGTTCCTTTTCCCGCCTCCACGATTTTTCATCTTGTAATAATTTCGCTACTGCAATTTCACCTGATTTGAACGAACATTCCTCCATGCTTTTCTGTATTGTGTTAAGAATTTTATCAACATCAAAACTTGGATTTGCCATGGAACTTGCTAGAGAGGTGATGGTTTTTCCGATTGAGGGGCGATCTCGCACTGCGAATTCCGAGGCCCAGTCTGAGGTCCGTGGCGTTGAACTATTTCCCAGCAAATCACTTTCACTGATTGTGCTTGAAATATCATAGGGTAACGAATTTTCTGACTGTTCTGTTGGTTTCAAGTATCGGGAGGAAATGGACGAAACCGGGGGTTGGTCTTTGTGCCGATTTATACAGTCTTTAGCTAAGTTAATCTCTTGCTGGAGTAAATACGCCGCAGAGCCTTCGCGGGGTGACAAGTCCCCACTTTTGATCGACAGAATCCCCAAAGAATTATCCATGTCAAATGACGAGTCGGAACCCTTATCAAAAGTTGGTATCTTCTTATCACTTTCTGCCATGCTTGAAGAATGAACCGGTTTTGGGGTTGTTAAAATTGTTTTGTCGTCGAAATGGGGAAAATATGACATATTCTACAACAACAAAATGTTTTTGACACTGTCTGTCATTAGTTTGTCTAAATTACCTGTTTTAATTCAATTGAAATTCAAAGTTTAATTTATAAAAACACTACAACAAAAAACACGGTTCGACTTTTAAATTTGACAAAAAAGAACGTTTCTAATGTCAAAGCACTAACGCCACCAAAAACCCTACATGAAATGTGGCGCCGAATTTAAAATTTTCGCACCTTTTTTATTTATAATTACGAGTAAGGACACGCGTACTTACTGGTTTATTATGATAACAATGATAATTGTAACTAAACATAAAAAAATAATTAATAGAAAACAGTTTTGAATAGCTTGTGTTTGCGGAATTTCTGATATAAATTTCCAAAGCTGTGAATACATTCCTTTATAACGTGATCAGTTGATTATATTTTGAACAATATCAGTTCTTGTTGCTTTCCAAAGTAAACAATAAATTAATCTTATGCATTATTATCTTATCAAATTTGACTTTTTTTCGTTGTTTAAAACCCAAAAGGTTTAACGTTATAAGTGTGCACATATTTTGGGTGTCCTTTAAGTGTAATTTTTTAAATATACTAAAAAAAATGTTTAAAAATGTGTCAAGAGTTTTATCACGCCTTAGTTCTGAAGCATGTAAAGTATACAAACACAAACTTCATTCAAAACCCAATTTTACCAGAGTAAATATATAGTGCAATAGTTAGATAACATTTCAACAAACATGAATTTTTTAGAATAATTATGACGTCGTAAGGGGAAATTACAATTATGTTGAAGAAGAACATTTGAATTATTTTAGAAATCTACTCGGTGAATCTCGAATTTATACAGACTTATCAGATCTTGAAAAATACAATGTGGACTGGCACAAATATTTACGAGGTAATGAACACAATTAGGTAGTAATTTTACCGTTTAATGTTTGGTGAAAGGTGCGAGTCAAATCGTTTTAAAACCAAAGACCACTGAAGAAGTTTCAAAAATATTATTATTCTGCAATCACCATCGCCTGGCAGTGTGCCCTCAAGGGGGCCACACTGGAGTTGTGGGTGGGGCAACCCCTGTTTTCGACGAAGTGATCATTTCAACCGAGCTCATGAACGAAATTATAAGTCTCGATGAAAAAGCCGGTTAGTTGTCATAAACACTCAAAAAATTGTTCTCACAATTGCGTTACAGGTATTTTAACATGTCAAGCCGGTTGCATTTTACAGAATTTGGATGAATATTTGGCTGAGCGAAATTTAATTTTTCCCCTCGATTTAGGAGCCAAAGGCTCTTGCCAGATTGGAGGGAACGTTTCAACGAACGCTGGAGGTTTGAGGGTCGTCAAATATGGCAATCTGCACGGAAATGTCTTAGGTTTGGAAGCAGTGCAAGCCAATGGTGTTATTTTAGACTTCCTGACAAGTCACAAAAAGGACAACACGGGCTATCACTTAAAACATTTATTTATTGGTTCCGAGGGGACCTTGGGAATTGTTACAAAAGTGGCAGTTCAGTGTAAATTGAGACCAAAATCTCTCCACGTTGCTTTTCTCGGCTTGCAAAACTTTGATAAAGTTTTGAAGACTTTCTACAAGGCCAAACAAGACATGGACGAAATTCTTACAGCATTTGAAGTGATTGATGCTCCCAGTATGGAACTGGTGACAAGTAAATTAGATATGCAGTCTCCGATCGGGGATTACCCGTTTTATGTGTTGATTGAAACGACAGGAAGTAACGAAGAGCATGATCAAGAGAAAGTGAATCAGTTTTTGGAAAGTTGTTTGAACAAACATCACATTTTGAATGGGACTGTCACAGGAGAAATTAGTAAAGCTAGGGTATAAAACAAATTACGAAAAGAGTTTTTAGTTTAGTTTGATCGTTTAGGGAATTTGGCAGCTAAGGGAAAAAATTCCGGAAGCGTTTAAATACGATGGGTACGTTTTCATGTACGATATTTCACTCCCTTTGGACAATTACTACAAATTAGTGGATGATATGAGAGAATACATGGGTGATAAGTCGCACAGAGTTTACGGTTTTGGACATATAGGTAACGGGGGCCATAAGTTTGCTTAAAAAGTAGAAAATCATTTCAGGTGATGGCAATATCCATTTGCAAATCTCTGTGAAAGAATTCAGTCCTGAAATGAAGAGTTTCATTGAACCATACATCTTCCAACAAACGAAAAAATACAACGGAAGCATCAGTGCTGAACATGGGATGGGTTTCCTCAAGGCCAAGTATCTAGACATGATGAAATCCCCTGAAACTATAAATTTGATGAAAAATGTGAAACAGATGATGGATCCAAATGGCATACTCAATCCTTACAAAGTCTTAGTGTAACAATTTATTATCAGAAAAGTTAAAACAAATGTTTGATATTTTTATCAATTTGTGATAACACCACCTTTACTGGAGAAGTACAATCAACAAAGACAACTTCCGGGTCCACCATGTTTTTGTAGGCCAAAATTATACTACAATAAATAACAATGATCAACTGTAGAACACCAAACTCAGACATACGTACTTATCTCTAAATTGCTTTGAACTCTTCAACAAGTCTTCCTGTGTTGTGCTTGATTTTCGCCGTGATAACCTTTCAAGCCTCACGTTTTCAACCACATCCAGAAATATCACAATAGAGGGTTTCAACAAGTCTTCAGGCCATTTGTAAAAACTGTCCCCTTCTGGGGGCATTTCTATTTTCCCTGCCCAATCATGCACAGCCTGTGCTACGGCATAAGCAGCAGTAGAATGCCAATACCTGTCCATTACCACTGGTTTTTGTTTCAATAAGGCAGTACATTCAAGAGCGGCAATATAATTCCCCAAGGCGTAATAAGCAGTTCTTAGAGTTGGGTGGTCATCAAATAACTCTCTAATGTGTTTGATTGAATCAGGAGGTGTGCCCCATTTAGCGGCGGACAGTTTCGCCGACAATTCGCGTGAAATTCTTGATTTTCCTGCAAAATTACCAAATGGAATCAAATATAACTCACAAAATTTAACTTACCACAACCATCTAACCCCTCAAGAATGATCAACGGGTGTGATTTACTGGGATAATCTTGATTTTTTTCCTCGGCAACTTTCAATGCGTTGTTATAAACTTGCAGCAAAGCTTCAACGGCTTGAAGATTCTCATTCTGATTGAAATAATTACAAGAAATAAGTGCAAATTAATTGACTTACCTTGTGTGTGTTTAAAACATTTAACACTGACTCGACACTTCTATAAATCGTAGGTAGACTCATCGTTAAGTTTTCACTATGCTTTATTTTTCTGATTTCTCTTGTGATTATCTTTGAGGTGCTTCCCCTAAATGCGTCTAAAAATGACACAAGCATTGTCGATAAAACAGATAACTGTTGGCGAGTGAGGCGCGAAATTCAAACCAACTCCATTTGCTTATAATTTATTTATTTACAAACACATACACACTGAATTACGGTCTAGGTTTTTTCGGTAACGATCCAAAAGCTGAAATAACTGTCCCTTTAGTCCCCGTTGCACTGCTAGTTAGGGAAGGTTGAATAAGTCCAGCTGGTTTAATACTTTGAGATCCTAAGGCATTCCCACCTGGCTGATCCCACTTGCTTTTTCGTTTTTTATTATCATCCTCTTGTTTTTTAGTACCTGAGACAAACTCAACTTTGGACTTTCGCTCTTTCTCCCTCTTGTCCATTTCAATTTTCTGAACTTTGGCTAGTTCTTCATAGTAAGATTCTTTGTCCCATTTCACTGGGTCATAAATTGTTGGGGGGTAATTGGTACCTGTAAAAATATTGCCACAGTAAGATAAAGTGAGTTTGAGCACAAAATCAAACCTAATTCATTAATAGCACAAAACTGGATCAACTTCTCATAAATGCTCGGGTTTCTAAAATCTTTCCGTTTCTGGATTAGTGCATTCATGTCTAGCTGTTGATTTTGCATTTTTTCGTACAATTTCGCGATTTTGTCTTGTAAATCTGCTGAGCAGTGGCCTGGTGGCTCTGGGGGTATTTGTACACCGTCTTCGTTTGTTTCTTTTTCTTCAGGTTTCAAGGTTTCATTTTCGGTTAACATGATCACCTCATGATGGGGCACTGCATCATCAGGTTCGCCCTCTTCATCAGAAGCGATATTATCATCATGATATGACACTAATTTTGCTACTTTGGTTATGACGCGTACGGGAGCGGGGCTGTTGGGGCGGGAAGAATTAGTTGATTTGTTGTCAGATGGAGACCCTGATGGCGTTGTAAGAAAAGCAACCCCCTGGCTTTCGGAATTCTCATTATTTAACTCTTCTTCACCTTCTGAATCAGTGTAAGTGGCTGTTAGCGAAGCCAGAGCAGCCATTGAGGAAAACTAACACTTATCCCACTCAGAAACACCTATATTCGACTTTCTTACACTATTTATTAAAACGAAAAATGCTTAACCTCACTTCCAGCTGTCAAACAGTTATTTTTGGATCTATTGCGCAGCATAACCAACATTTGGTTATTTCCACCAGATTCCACAGCAATAAGCAATTGTAGAGAGCAGAGAATTAAAGTTCCAAAAAAAACCTATTTACCTATTCCGTAACCTATTAACTAAACTATGTAACCTATTAATCTGTGACAATGATATTGGCTGGTGGTTATGTTATGGAATTGTGGTAATGGCCACCAGCAAAACACATCACCGTTTTCTAAAACCGACTCTCTATATAATAAGATAATGCTGTGGGGCCTAGGGAAAATAACCAACGCCATGTTGGTGTGACTGTGACAACAATCCGACATAACCTCAATTTAACTTTATGGTTTAAAAGTTATTTAAAAAAAAAACAAATGGATTTAATTTTCGCAAAAGAGGACCCTATCTTCAATAACGACGTCTTGTGTATGAAGAGTTTAATCGGAAAAAGCGTTAATATTGAGACTATTGACAAGTGTATCCACGAGGGAATTGTGTATGTTGTCGATCCAGTGTATAAAACTGTTGTTTTGTTAGATGAAAGTACAAAAAGCCTAGAATTTGTGTTATTTCATGCTATTAAATCATTTAACGTGACTTCGGACGAACAAAATGATAAACTTCTTCAAACTCCGACGAAATTGTTAAACTCTGAAGAGTCAGTTCGAAAGAAAATGAAACTTATGAAGTGGTTAAAACTACTTATGATTAATGTAACAGAGGATGGGGAACTATTGAGAGTTGATGAACATTTGTCAATAGGGCCGCCATATGGTATAAATGACTGTATGTGTGATAATACCATTGTGTTGGAAAGAATTAGGAAAATAATAGGTTTAATGCCCCCAGAATTTGAATAACCATTTATTAGTTTATTATTATAGGTAGTAGAATGTAAATTTATAATTTAAGTAACGTAAGTTAAAAATTTGTAAATGTAAATAACGATAAAAACAATCAATAAAATATATTTGTATAAATAAAAAAAGTTCATCTATATAACCTGTCTTTCAGCCTAGCATAAATAAGGGATTATTACCAAGCTGCAAAACTGAGATTTGTACTCGAATCCTTAGTAAGCGTCGTTTCACTTTCTATATGAATTTGGTCAAAAGTATCTAAAAAGTACTCAATTTTCTCCAATAAATTAGTCGCGACGCTTGCAAACTCCTCCCAAATTAAGTATTCTTGTGTCACGTATACTTCCGCATCCTCTGATCCTTCAGTGACTCCAAACAATTTTTCTTCATCTAAACATGAAAATGTGATTTCTGTGTTAAGACCTCGTCAACTTACCAAGATAATCGGCTAAGATTACTAGTAATTGTTGAATCTCATCATCGGGGATAAGTTCGTACAAATCCATTGTATCAATACAGTAATTCCAAATGACTTGACACACCAACATCCCCAATAACCAGTCATTTTGTCCGTAGTTTTTCAAAATTGTGATCAACTTCGCGATTCCTCCCTGATTCTTGAACAAATTTCGCGATTTGTTGTCTGCCATCAAGTTTACGAAAACTCCGATCGTTGTTTTGAGGAGAGTCAAATCGGCTTTGTCTAGAATGTTTAGAAGAATTTTGAATACTTCCGATTCCGTGATGTAATCTCTTGTTATTTTAGACCGCGATAAGTTACCCATTATTCTCATCGACTCGATTACGCATTCCTTGTTGCGCGATCTTGCATATTCGGTGATTCCCTCAACGATTTCCACTTGTTTTATGTGGAAAATGTCGGTTTCCATGTCGGAGGTGTAATAATAGGATAAGTTGTTTAAGGTACTCAAAATGGACATGACGAGTTCTTCGTTCTTTTTGAACGGATTGCTGATTAAGACTTTCAAAAATTCATCGATGAGGAGACAGCCGTAGGACTCATTGACGGCTTTCCCAATATCTGGATTTATAATCACGTTTGCAATGACTCGAATTACTTTAATCATGACGTCTTCCGGATTTCCGTTTTCAATTAATTCGTTGTCGGTTTTCAGGGAGCAGATTTTTAGCGTCCGTTCTAAGTAAATTTTCCACAGGTTGAGGAGACTGTTTACTGAATTTTTCTCATGATAAAACTAAAATAAACAGTTCGATAATTATTCAAAAAAATGTTAAACTTACTTTGACTCGGGTATTATCAATTTTAGCAACAATGTTTCCTAAAGTGTACGCCAATCGTACAATAATTTCTTCATTCCCGGGATATTTATCAAATAAATGGATAATCACTTTATAAATATCTTTATATTCAACTAAGCTATCACAACAGCAATCGTTGGTTGATATTGTACTACAAATAACTTATTTGTATTTCTCGCGCAATGAAATAAATATTTACTCACCTGAAAATGCGTGATATGTTACTAATAATATCCAAATCTGCAGAGAAAAGATCCATTGTTTGACATAATTGTTGAATCGCTCCACACGATATAAATGTTTCATAAATATTTTCTTCTGAAACTATGTTTCGTAAGGCACCAGTTAGTTGGAACAAAGCATGATTGGTTTGTTCAGGCATTTGTGTTTTATCCATTTTCTACAATATAATTTTTTTTATTTAAAATTGGTTTTATAAAAAAAACATACAGCATTATTAATAATTTTAATATGTAAAACCATCAGCTGTAATATCCCCAAGGATAAAATTTTATCTAATAATTGCGTATTCATTGTTAAAAATTTGACGGAACCGTAACCGTATACGCAAGCCTCGGCATCGTCCAATGGGCTTGAACGGCCCAAAGCGTCCAAAAATAATTCTAGAATTTGTTAAAAATTGTTACCACTAATTTAAAACTACATCAAACTCACCTAAAATATTTTTCTGGAAGAATAAGTAATCGTTTTTGTCATTCTTGGACACTTTGAAAATCAATTTACAAACCCCGCTGAGATTATTTCCAGTTACTTTCAGCTGAAATAAAAAAAATCTAATTTGTATTAATTAGATAAAAAAAGCTGACCGAGTTTGTACAATTTTTTGTGTTAATTCCACTTGGGGTTTCTTCGAAACAATGTGATTTAAGAGACTTGGACTTCTAGTTTATAAAAATTGAAAGGATTGTCACATTCCATTTTATTCCAAATATTTTTACAAATAGTAATCTATTTATTTTTAATATTTCGATTTGTTTAGCAGAATAATCTTTTAGTTACTTAATCGAAATAAATACATGAAACATAAACTGGATGACTTTCACTTTTCGATTTAGTTTCGTTATTATTAAACTTTTCAAGGAACTATTATTTTTAGAAAATATGGAAAAGTGTTGAGATTTCTAGAACTTTCTCGTGAGAACAAAATAAAATATTAAATTGGGCCTTGAGTCGGCTATTGTCAGTTTTTTCGGTAACAAAATTAAATTTCCTATTTTCAATCTAACTATTTCTAGCAAGCAAGCAAGTACCTACTAATAGTTTCGATCGATTTGTTCAGAAATAATTAATGGTTTATCATAACAATAACCAGTACTTGCCGTATTGTTAAATATTCGGTTCATACAAACTTCATTAATAACAATAATTAATTTAATTTCAGTTTCATACGAAACACATTCTATTTTCTAATTGAAAAGGCAATGTTTCCGCAATTCCGTAATGTGAGCTAAATTGAAATTAATTTCCCAACGTGATACGTGAAATATTAATCAATGAAAATGTTTCACATCAAACTTGTTCAAATTACAAGACACTTACCGCCAAAATCACCCTCGCAATATTCAACAAAAGCTTCTCATTCTGCGATTCCACAAACTTGTACAAAGCTTTCAGAACATGAATCTTCATTTTCGAGTTGATTTTCGACGAGAGTAAATTATCTTTTTCCATTTTTTCATAAAGTTCTTCCAATAGTTCAATGACGAGGTCCTCATTGTCGATTCTGTTGCTCTCATTATTCAAATCATCGATAACATTATCGACCGTTCTTTCTTTACTTTCTAAAATTGAATTTTGTACTTTATTTCTACGCTGTGGACTATGCCCCCTATTCAAGTAACCTGTCCCGATAAACAGCGTCTCAGAATTCTCAATAATGTGTCTATTATCGAATATTTTATTCAAGTTTTGTGGACCCAAGAGAAGACATTGAGAGAGATTTTTCTGTTTGCTGGACGATCGCCCGAATGGAGAGTCATCGTCGTTGAAATCTGTGCGTTCTTGTGGAGAACTAAAAGCTTTGCGTTCGGTTTTCGAGTCGGGAGATTCTTGTTCTTCGGGTACTGGAGGTTCGAAATTAGACAATTTCGACAAAACAGAGGTAGAGGACTTACAATTATCGAGAGATGAAGTGTTAAAAAATTTTCGTTTTTGCAACGGTTTCATGTGGTCCAGTGAAGGCAGTCTGACTTTATTGAGAGATATTTCTTTGATTCCGATGTTGAAAATTTTGTTGTCGTTGACTTCGGATAATGAGTTTGAACGTTGTTTGGTGAAAATGGGTCGAGAGGTGGTTTTTGGTGGAATTGGTTTCGTGGTTGTTGATAACATGTGAGGGCTTAAAATCATGTTTGAATCGGGGACGTTGGTTGGTATTTCCGCTTCATTTTGGAGGTATCGGAGACTACAATGTTTAAGTAGAATTAACATAAATAGATTAAACATTAAATAGATTAACCTTTTTAATTAAGACATTCGTAATTAAATTATTATTATTTATGGATATTTTCAACACATTTTTATCAAGCCTTATTTAGGTTTTTACTGTCAACGGCCGTATTTCTAAAAGTGAGGTACTTACTGAGTTCATTTTTAACATATTTTATGACCGAGGGGCCGTCAACATTAGCAATGTTGTAATTACTTAATTAATATGAGAGTAGCCGGAGAATTAAAGTTGAAAATTGGTAACACTGCTTAAAAAAGAAACCTTTCAAAAAATTTGGTTGGTATGAATCGAATTATAATATTTTTTGTTTATTGTCATTACTGTTTCGTTGTTCTTGAATTTTCTTTGTACACTGTTGCCAACTTAATTTAAAAATGAAATGACAAATTGATCACAAATTATGTGTTTGTTACTAAAAATAATTATCTCTGTTAAAACCATCCAAAACATTTTTAATTTTATCATAGTAGTGAAATTTTCGCGAAAAAATCAATAGTAAAAACTTCAGGAGTATTTTTTTTATAAATTAATAATAAAAATAAAAAGATTATTCTACATTGATAATATATTTAAGCAGGTTATGAATTTAAGCATGAAAAATTAGATTCCCTTGACCTAAAAATGTTTTTCTAATAGATAGGTTTCGAAAAGATGTATATTTATTTACTATTTGTTTACTTGAGTAGGTTACTACCAGTTTCTTGGGGAAAAAAATTTCAACTAAAAAATTATGTAGGACTGTAATGTATAGAAAAAAACATTTAAGTAAGGTTCAATTATGTTAAAATGTATTCGACTATATTACAATTGATAATACAAATTCAAAATATTAATCTGTTTTATTTTTTTCGAATATTATCACCACTTGTACATTTACATTGTTGTACATAGAAATCATGTTTGCCTGAAAAGAGAAATTTAATTTAGTTTAGGAATTTTAATAGCTTCATTCCAATATCATTTGAGGAGCGTCATGCAAAAGTGGAATAAACGAATAGAAATACTTCATTTAAAAATTCAATTTATTTAATTTTGCCCCACGTTTTTTCTCATTCGCCTGGTTTTCACTTTTTTAAAATAAATGTTGATAATTATCCCACAAATAACCCGATTTATTAAATAATTTATTGAACAAAGATGAAATGTTAATTTCTTTTTCTTCAATGTTTTACAATATTTGTATACAAAATGCTAAATAAATTAACAGATAATTCGAAAAACTAAATTAAAATGCAAACAGTAAAATTGCGTTTATACCTAATATTTATATTCTTAGTACATTTATTGTTGATTTTCAGAAAACAGAAACAACACAAATTTTCCTCTTTCAGTTTACCTTTTTGAACTTCTTAATAATTAGATACTAGAATTAATTTCAATTGAATTGCATGGTATATTTTTAAGTGTAAAAATGATTTTAGAAAACATCATTCTTTTTGGACAGAATTTGGAAACCAAGTTGGTATGTTGAAAGTGCGCACTTTGTTTCTTATGTTGTTTTGTTTCCTAGAGCTTCCCTTTTAAATTAATAATCTGGTATAATCCCGTAAAAAGCACATAAAAAGTGGAAGCTAACACGGAATACTCTTAACATAATCCCAAACTCAAGGCCGTTAGTTTGGTGATAAAAAAATCTATTTAAATTGCGTTTCAAAAAAAGAAAAACAGTGACCTTCGAGTAAGACAAATCAAAGCAAACATTTCCTTTGATATTGATCGTCTTATTTGTGATTTGTAAATATCTGAAACTCACCTGAACGAACTCGGCGGTCGATTCGCTTTGTTTTTTTTGCCAAACAGTAGCCTTTCCTTGTTTCTTGGTGTGAAGGGCCTTTGGGTTTGCAAAGGCTTAATAGGAGTTGAGATAAACGAGCTCTCAGCCATTTGTGATTCTAGAAATCGGTTTAAAATCATTGTGAAAATTTTGAGACCTTTCACTACCTCTTATAGCAAGTCGCGCTTCGTTGATAATTTCCGCACTGGTTTTCCTCGGCGGGGGTTCATAAAATGGCAAAGACACTTTACTTATTCCCCCTAATTTAATCTCGTCACTTCTATGTTCCATTATTTTGTATCATTGTTAGCTTCGAGGAAGGATTAAATACGGAGTGAGACAGGGGGTTGTTTATCGGCGAGTTCTTGCTTGCAAACTGCGACTTTTCCACTGGAAACCGTCGACTAACGAGAATAATACGAATATTGATTATTTCATGGAATCAGAAATGTTCTAGACATGCAACGGATGTACGCGAAAAAATCAATATGGGGTGGAAAATGGTTCAGACAAGTTAGGAAAATGTCATTGACACTGTTTAATAACCATTTTTACGGTGTGAAAAGACGCTAATTTGTCACAGATGACAGGAGTAGGTTACGCATGTGATTGGCGATAAAGGAGTTTCGATAATTCATTGATTGACCTATTGCGGGCTGAAGAGTCCACTTTAAAGGTGGCTGTTTACTAATAAGAAGCCTCTATTTAAAATTCAATTAGGTATTGCCGATTTCCAGAGTTTTGTTTCTCAAACATGCGACCGTATTTTAGAAAAAAACGTAAAAGAATGCCGATTTTTTTTTCTATTATGTTCTTTAACAATTTCCGTTTATTTCAGTATCTCGCGTCTACTTCCATTATTTACAGAAAAAAATGAAAATTTATTTCCCTTATTTATTGATTTTGAGGTATCTACATATTCATGGAAGCAATAACTGGACAAACTCCAATTGGGTTACGTGTAACAACATAAATCTGCGCGTTATCGGTAAATATATTTTTTTAAGGAAACACAAACCGGATTACATAATCCTTCTAAAACAACAGTGAAATTTGTAACTAACTGTTATAATAGTCTTGTTTGTGCCAAAAAATTACGGTGTCCCAGCTAAACCCTTTTTGGGTTCATTTTTTATAGTGATTGGAACTTTAGAAGACAAAAGATTCCAGAAATGATAACAAAACTTAACTACAATTAAAAAAACAACCATTTTATGAGTTATTCTTGAATATAATGTAAAAATTCATTAAATTTAAAAAGCTTAGTGTAAAATTAATGTTTTTTAACAAATTATTTTGAAAAATTCTTTTCGTAAATTCTAAATTATCGTCTTCCTGAATTTTGGTTAAGGTAGAAAATGAAGCTTGTCAATCTTTGTTTTTTTTTAACAAATGACGAAAACACCGGGTGAACGAAAAGTATAGACCTAAGGGTTTATTGTTTAAACTATTTACTTTTTGAGAAAAGTATTTAGTGCATTTAAATGATGAAAACTGATTGTTGAATTTTCTTGAGATATTTTTAAATTTTCAAGTTTTGCAACATTTTTAATTTTTTTTTAAAGCAACCTACCTTTGCGTCAGTTATTTTTTTTTATAAATACAGGGTGCGCCAGAACTCGCGCCCCAGAGAAAAATGTTAATAAAAAATTTCTATAAAAAGGTCGAAGTTATTAGGGTTAAAATTTTGCACTTTGACTCTATTTATTGCTGTTGAAAAAATACTTTTCCAAATTTTTTCGACATTAGAAGAGGAAACAAGGAAGCTGTATTCTAAATTGTATCTTTGTTTAATGTTATTTGTGGTTTTTATTAGCAAAATTTTTGTACCATTACTAAATAATTATAGAAAAACATATACAAGTTCAACAGTATCATTAAATAGACATAAAAAATGTCAAATGTCAAAAAATAAATGTCAACATTTTTTGACAGATAGAATTTTTTAAACATTTTTTCATGTTCCTGGTATCATATCTTACTTGAAATTTTTCTCAGGGGCGCGAGTTCTGGCGCATCCTGTATAGTTATTCATGACATTATTTACTTTCCTCCCAACAGGGAATAAAATGACGCTTTATTACCTCGTTTTTAACAAATAATCTGGTACTTTATTCCCTCGAGAATAAGATAGATGAAATATCGATTTTAACTCTCAAAAAGTGGGAGAAGTGAAAAAGTGGATGAGGTCAAAATGCTTAAACTTGCTTTATCCGAATGTTTATACAGTATGTTATTAAAATGCGTTAAGAAACTTTAAACGGTGATAGAACTCATTAAAACAAATTACTTTTCTATTTACCATTTTTTGGAAAACTCAAATTTATACTTACATTTATTTTCACCGTATTCCGTGTCATCGAGTAGTTTATGGATGGTACGGTACGAAAAAGGTTAACGCAAAAAAATAAATACGGCACCTGCATGCGGCCGTGTTTACAATTTATTGGAAAGTGAATTTCCCGTAATTATTGTCAAAAATGGTGCAGGAGACTAATCCGGAGTTAACAGACATGGTGCTGATCTACGGGGAAGCTTTATCGAATGTTGGTGCAGCCAGGTGTGTTTGTACATGGAGATTTTTCGTGGTCGCCAAGTTCAAATTTAGAAAATCGGTGGATAGGTCGTAATGGACCAGTTTTATAGCCAGCTCGTTCACCGGACTTAAATCCTTGTGACTTTTTTCTATGGGACCATTTTAAACAAATTGTGTATGAGACTCCAGTTAACACCGTCGAAGAATTAACTGTTTGTGTGAATAATGCTGCCGAGTCAATTCGACGAAATACCATGTTGGTGAGAACTAAAGCTTCTATGGCTCGAAGGGCACATACATACATCGATAACGGAGGTCATTTCGAACATTTAATGTGAAGGTTAGTGCCCTTGATCAAGTATGGTGCTTAACTTGAATTAATTATTATTTGGGCTTAGAAAGATTTTTCGAAAAAATGGTAAATAGAAAAGTAATTTGTTTTGATGAGTTCTATCACCGTTTAAATTTTCTTAACGCATTTCAATAACATACTGTAGTTTCTGAGTTATTCCTAAAGGATGCAACCTCCACTTTGACGTCGAAAAAATTGTCAAAAAATGCTATATAAACGAAATTTGAACCTTTTGAGTCCTTTATCCCAAATTTACATGCTAGTGGTCGGTAACATTTGAGGTAAAGAAATTCCATGGTATCTTCCAAAAAATAAAAAAAAAAAACAATGCAAACTTTTTATCGTTTTACGAATATGTTATTTTATACTTATTTCTGTACCTGTTTTTGTTAATCTTAACTCAATTTTTTCAAATCAATAAAACAGTTTTTGAAGAGATCATCTTTGTTTACAATTTGAGTTGGTGAAGTTTAAGAGGCTGTACCCCAAATTTAAATTTATTCGACGAACAAAACCTTCTATATTTCAAAAACTATAATCATTCGGATAAGATAAGTTGAGTTATTTTGACTTATTGTAAGCTCTAGTTTGTTTGCACAAACTTTAAAATCACGCTGCTTGTAAACTGGAATTGAATGAATTGAATCTTTTGAGTGTTTTTTTACATAAACAAACTCCTTGATATCGATTTTAACTCATTGTAAATGTTAATATCTTCAAAAATTGAGTGAGATAATGTTATCTCTACTTGGAGTCATATTTACTATATTTACAATGTGATAAAGAAATAATAAAAATAAAATATTTTATCCACAATCACCCTATAAAAAGACTTTATTCCACACTTTAGATGCGTATAAAGTACCACTTTATTCCACTGTTAGTAACCAGCGCACCACGTAACAGCTTACTACGTTTAACCGAAAGCACATTTGGCGTGACGTTTAAATGTCAGTTTAATTTTTAATTAAATTTGGAATAATTTGGGCCTGTGATTGTGGATAAAACGTTATATTGCAGTCGTGTGTTAGTCGCGTTTTATCCACTTAAGAAAATTAACCCCTCGAACTGAAGTTCTCGCGGTTAAACATTCTTGAGCGTATAAAACGTTATCTAACACACTTTTACAATAAATAACTATTATCTACGTGACTTCGTCACTCGTAAACTTATCCTTTTCACTCGTGGATAAACAATTTCTTTATCGTCTTGTATAATAAATAACTATTTCATTTACCATTTACGTTAGGTACAATATAATTGAAACATCATTTTATTATATCATTAGTGTTTCATTTATTCGTGTTAAAAAACTGAGTGTTGGTCAACAATAAATTGCTAAAAAATAATGTTTTGTTTGAAAACAGGATTTTAAGAAGTAAGCACTTATAAAAATGTAAAGTATAGTAAAAAATAAGTGTAAAGTAATAATAAATATAAACAATTGCTTTTCATATTTTAACACGTGAAATTTTGTATTAATTTTCAAGTCTATTTTTGTAGTTTTACGACAAATTTCACGTTTGATGTTCTAGTAAACAGTCGTAGCTAATGATGGAATATCTAATTAATCTCTTTCATGTATTTGAATAAATTGTTTACTTCTTGTACCTCTATTTCCAATCAATATCCATCCATTTTCCCACAAACCTACATTTTATCTGTTTTTCTTCTACGTGACACATTACAATGTCCTCGTGCCCCATTCGACACAATATTCAAAATTAATAATAATTCAATTGGTTTCAATAATACACAACTGTTTACTAATTCGGGTCACGCTCCAAATTGATTCCACAATACTACCATCGTAAATATTTCATATTATTATTTGAAAATCAATTTAATGAGTCGCAGGATAAATCAAAAGCGGTTTTCCAATTATTTATTATTTCCAAAACAACATTAAAGGCTATAATACATTTGACATTGTAAAAAATTACTGCTTATCTAAATTAGACACTACTTCGAACCATTGTCTCAAAGCGTCACTTAACACATTTGGCAGCGAGTTAATATCTCGCAAAATGATATAAAACGAAAATGGAAACACATCCATGTAATTCTGGATTCCCAACAACTTTCCGTCTTTAAATGTCGGCATCCGAATGTCCAAAATCGAGTTCTTATTTTCCGGATTGTCAATAATGACAAACACCATGAAGATATTCGCTAGTTTCGCCCTCCTCACAGCTTGTCTTACCACGCTTTCGCCCTCGGAAAACACTCCTCTTCCGTCACTCACTATGACCAAAAGCTTGGCAATCAGCGCCGACGAGTGCATCTGCGATTGTGCAAACATTTCACTAACGAAATCCACCAGTTTCCCCACGCATGTTTTGTTTTGATCAAACTTGAATTTCTGCAACAGCTTAACTCCACTCTTATCAGTAAACTGATCAGTTAGTTTGTGCAAAATTTCGGTATTTTCGCCAAAACTAACAACCGATAATTGGCCACTCTCGAGAAGAGTCAGGGCTTTTGAAATTAAAGCCACGCTTTCGAAAGCCAACTCTTTGGAGTGGTTATCAGCCATGGAGGACGAATCATCGATGGCCAAGACTATTTGGTACTCCCGTTTTGACGGTTTAGTGCGTCTCAACCAAATTTTGTCTTTTCGGAATTGTGAAGCAATGTAAGGAATGACTTTTCGCATGTTTATGCGACGGCCGGTCCTGAAATCGCCCTTCAATCGACTTGCTTGTGTCGGTTCTAAGACTAGGCGGAGTTGCTCTGACAAGTCTTGGGCTAGAGATGACATAACTGAGGAGATTTTTTGCCAAGCTTGGTCGGCTTCAATGTCGGAAGGAACCTGCAATCAAACAGTAAAAATACAATTTGGGTTAGATTGAGTTGTATTACGTCAGTCCATGCGGATAATTGTTTTTCTACTTCGTGGCGTAATGAGTTCATTTCCGCTTGAGTCAGTCTCGAAAATGTTTTATTCCCAAGTTCGTCGTATAAAGTGTGGTAAGTTGTGTCCGCTCCGCGGGCAACTCCCATCGTTTCAACAACTTCTCCCTCAATTTCGATGTCTTGCACTTCATCAAGAATATCACCTAACAATAAACATTTTACAATAAGTAGAAATATTCAAAACCAAAACCCACCTTTTGGATGTTGTTTCTTATCAGTTTTCTTCTTCTTCGACTCGGTCTTTTCCGGTTTTTGTACCGAAGTATCCACATTTTCCACCTTTTCCTCTTCTTCAGGACGTAGATTCTCCGATGATTCTTCTGGTTCTTCCCCTTTCTCTTCTTCAGTTTGCGGAACATCATATTTCTGATCCTCTGCTTGTTCTTTCGTCGCAACGTCCAAAACTTGAGTCGACGACTCTTTCGCTTCTTTAATATGTTTATACATTTCAGCTTCTTCATCCCTGTCTCCAGCTTCTTCACCTTCACTCTCATTATCATCTTTCGAATCAATCGTCTTCAATTTCTTCTTCACTGGTTCATTCACATCCCCTAGACTTCTCTGTGCGTCTGAATCGCCCGGTTTTTGTTGCTTTTTCAAATCTTCATCTCTTTGTCTCTTCGAAGATTGCATTTCTTGAGGATTGGTGGTTTGGGCCGAATGCCCTGTTGAACTTTCCTCCATTTGTGATTGGCCGACTCCTTCTTTATCGGGTTTGTCTTCTTGGCACAACTCGTCTATTGGTTGGTTGGATTTTTGATTTTCGGTCTGATTGGACGTTACTTTATCAGTCGCTTCAGATTTATCAACATCCATTGCTTCAACGTTATCTTCATTCGTCTGAGTCTGATCGAAACCGGATTCTTCAACTTGACTATTTTCTTCCGCTTCGTCTTCTGGTTCCTCAACTTTCTCCTTAATTCCGTCTTCTTCCTTCGGATCTTGATCTCTGCGATCTTCCTCATTCTCATTTTTAGTAATTTCTTCATCATCACTACTATACTCATTCTCAGGATTATCTTCATTTTCATTCTCATCTTGCTCTTCTTTTTCCTTACCCTCGAACGGATTGTCTTCCTTCATTGCATCAATATCAAATGGATTTTCTTCATCTTTATTCTCATCTGGTTCTTGACCTTCATCTAATTGAAGATCATCGGGTAAATCCATAGGTTCCGGTTCCGGCAATTCCGGTTGGTTCCCATGATAAGGATCAGTCTGTTCATCGTCATATTCCGGTTCCTCCATTTCATTAATCTCCTTTTTCTTCTCTTCCTTTTCATTTACCGAATCTTTATCAGGCTTATCTTCACTTTTCTTATCATTCTCCTTCGCCCCCAATTCTTTGTCACCATCTTTTTCACCTCCTTCGCCCCGTTCTTCTTTATCTTCACTTTCAACGTTTTCTTCTTCATTATCCGACCCATAAGTTTCCTTATCTTGTCTATTTGCATCTTTCTCGGTTTCACCCATTTGTTCGTCAGCATCTGATTCATTATCTTCCTTATCTTCATCTTCATCGTCTTTCGGTTCGATATCTTGCAATTTACTATCAAAATCTTCGCTCATGTCAATTCCTTTATCTTCTTCTTTACAATCAGGATCTTCATCTTTTTGTTTTTCTTGTCCAGCAGGTTGTGCATCATCTAACTGATCTTCAGATTCGATTTTATCAGAAACGTCTTTCTCGCCTTGACCTTCACCCAAACCAAGACCATCAGAAGGTTTAGAAACACCTTCTTCAGAATCGTCGGTTAGTTCAGGTGGAACACAAAAACCTCTAGATGCCAAGTCGATAAAAATATTCAAGAGAACCGAATTCATTTTATTAATGACTCTATAAGCTGAGACTTGTTGAGTTAAGAAATACTGATGGTAGAGACTGATTTGTTCCAAGAGAGGCAAAACGCAAGAAATTAAATTTTTCGGTTCTTCCAAAAAACTCGGAGGAATAGTGAAAAAGTGTCGGGCGATTTCGTGACACAAATCCAATATTTCTTGAATACGCAAATCCTTGAAATCACTGTCGAGATTTTCGATGATTAAAACTCTCAAATGTTCATCTTCAATACGACTTTCCTCTTGTTCTTGACTCAAATCGGAATATTTTTTATGAAGGATGTTAACAACTTGCGAAATTTTCTCACACAAAGCATCAGTCAGTTTTTCAATTTGTTTCAAAGAGTTTCCGATGTTAAAATCACCATTTAATTTGTCCTCAATGGTCAATCTCAAAGTCTCAACTTCGCCAACAATCCAAGACAAACTCTGACTCAATTTCGTCTTTCCAAAAATTCGAACAACTTCCCCTATATTTGTTTTAATATTATCCAATTTATTTTGAATTGAACTTGAATCAGATATTGGAATGAAATTTAATTTAAACAGTTGTAAGTCAGTGTGGGGCACTTCCCCTTTGCTTTTCTCCAAATCAATACAAATTTTATTGGCGATATTCAACGTTTCGCTTATTAAGTTATTGCATTTGTTCCACAATTGGTCATTTTTATACTGGATAAATTCGGGTTCCGGTTTAAGAATCACAATCCGAGTTTCAGAATCGGTGAAATCCTCCTCAGGACAGGAATTTAAAAAGATTTTAGTTTGATTTAGCACAATCTGAATATTTTTCATTGTTATTTGAATGTTTGATACTGTTTCAAGTGTGAGAAACTCCTTGCTGTCGCACATTTTGGTTATTTGGTTCGTGTAGTGTCTCAAATAGTAGAACAAATTGCTACTTTGAGTCAACTGTGACTTGTGTTTTTGGGCCAGAAACTGAAAAATTGATTACATGGTAGTTTTCCTTTGGTGTTGTGCGAGGGTAAGTGTAGGTGGCGCGACTTACCAGGAGATTTGATGTAAACCCTCTACACCGGGCGATATTTTGTTGGCCTAAATCTTGAGCCGGGGTCTTAAGGGCTGTATCCAGCACGTCGGCCCTCATTAGAGACTTTAAATAATACATTTCGCAGTTGTCCCACATAGTCAAAATTTTCTCATCTTGACGCCTAAAACCGCAATTAATTTTGTGATTAAATCAACAAAAATTAATTACTTGTAATTAATGTGGCTAAAGTTGGCACTTAAGTCGACTGGTTTCAACAGAAAGTCCTCCGCGGCCAATTTTGACTTGGCTTCGACTAATCCGGCCCTGAACGAGAGTCCCATTTGGCTCAAAACTTTGAACAAGTCGGCCAACGCTCGATGTTTCTGATTTAAAATGCTTTTGGCTGTGGATTTTTGCTTGTCTTTATCCAGAGTCGTGTCAACCTAATTTTCAATATTATTTTGCGATTTTTACAAGTATTGATCTCATACCTCCAAGTTTTGTAGATGCGTGCTCGTTTCAATTATTTGCGTCACTAAATCGTCCAAAGTTTGTATCATCTTGGGATATTTCATCGCTGAAATCGAATCTTTACACAACTTGCGTGCTTCGGTAAAATATGAGTCTATTTTGTTTGAAAGTTTTTGATGGTACTTTGAACTTTTTGGGCTTAATTTCTATAAATTAGTAAAGTTGAGTTTGGATGTAGGAGTTTTTGTTGGGAGTTACCTTTTTCAAAGATTCTTTTGCTACGTAAGTTGTCGCGTCTAATGTGTAGTGGTAAGTCTTGACGACATTCCTCTGCGGTCTGTCCCAAATACCGACATTTTCAATTTTGCTGGAATTGCTTGTATTGACCAGGTATGGCGACACCGGCTGATTTAAGACGTCCTGAAAAATATGTAACAATGCAGACAAGGAAAACAATTTGAAAGGGATGAAAAGGTGCAAATTCCTTTTTTACTAAATTAATTTCACAGCACTTTCACAGCACAAATAATTTAACGCCAATAAGTGTTGCATTATATTTATTTTTAAGAACGAATAAAAACTCTGATGTCCATAATTTATAAATTAATCAGATTAGGTGATTTGGCTAGGTCTTAAACTGTGTAATAAATTACCTAAACCAAAAAATAATACAGCACCTGTAATACAGGGTGTAACAAAAGGATGGGGACAAAGAGTCAGGTCAAAAATTTTTGGTTTAAATAATTAATTACATTATTGTTAACTTACACAAACATACACAAAGACATTAAAACCTAAAAAAAAATTAATACAATTTTAAAAACAATAATAATAAATGGCCAACGTCCAACATTTTAACACGTCTACTTAAATTATTTTTTTACCCTAAAACAAAGGGCGATACATAAATTGTTTAAAAATAATGTACCTGTCGAATAAAAAAAAAACGCTACTCGGATTACGTATAAAAAAATATGGGTTAAAATATATCAAATTGTTAATAAGTAAGTACAGTGATGGACAGTGAATTTCGACCACCGAATTTCCCTAACAGATTAAAAATGTAAGTTAGTCTTTAGGTTTTCCTAACCTTGTTCCAGAAAATTTTGATTAACGTTAGTCATGTTGACTACTTTTTACCTTTGTCCTTTGAAATGGTAGTCCTTGCCCAAAAGTATAGAAACACGTCTTTGAGACATACCTTCTTGTACCAGAGAGATAATTTTTATTTTATTAAACGTACTTACTGCTGGCATGTTCGAATATGATTAAATTTGACACGTATTTGAATGTTAGTTATCATGACAATAAAGCACAGACTACACTGAATTTTTGTGAATTTACAGAAATTGGGTGGACGAAATTCAATGCCCATCACTGTACTACTTTACAGTAAAAATAAAATAAAAGAAATGGCACCAAAACATGTGGTTTTGGCATCAAATTGCCTGTACCAAATTCCATAAAAATCGATCAATCCATTAAAAAGTTATTAAAAATGAAAAACTTTTTAAACTTTTAAACGGTACAACTTGGGTTAAATCGCTTTATTTTGACCTGGAGTTGCTTTGTGTCTCCATTTTTTTGTTACACCCTGTATTCTGCTTTTACTGCATTAATTTAATTTATTCTGATGTATGCAACAAATGTATGTCTGAAATTCATGTGTGTCAAGATAACTTACAAATTATAACAAAAAAAATTCTTGAATTGGTTCAATTCTTTGTTCTACAAAAAAATCTTCAAAAATATAATTAGTAAAAGATCGAATTTTTCATATCACAAGATAATTTTAGATTTTTAACGATTTCAAGTTGAAGGTAAGAGCTGGCATTGTCCAATTACTTTAAAAATATTCCAATAAATCGCTAAAAGGCAGCGAAACTAACCACAAAGAGGAAAATCCGTCACTCGTTTTGGTATAGTAATTGTTTCAATTCGTATCTACCTCTTTTTCAATGCAAACAAATTGGAGAGTGAGTTGATAGCATTCACTTTAGAGGAATCTCCTAACAACTCGATTTTTTGCACCACTACAGAAATGCATGCCGAGTAAAAAAATCCAATTAAATAACGAGTTGAAATTTACAGTGTTGCAAGAGCAGGAAGTGAAGAGTGTATTCATTAGGAAACTTACCTGAAATTCCCTGACGTATTTGTGGAGGGTTTTATGCGACTTATCGACTGTTTCTTTGATGGCCCAATAATTAACATCCTTCCATCTCACGATCTTGACATAATCTTTCAATTTCTTCTCAATGGGAGCCCTCAAATCCTTAATTTTGTTACTCACAATTTGGGCGAATTGCAGGAAATAATTGTAAACATTCCACAAAATGCTGACAAATCTGTGTGATTTCTCCGTGCGCTTTCGATGTACAGCATGACAGTGGAACGCATGTAATAGATTCAATCTGGTCTGGAATTCGGCCAAATTTGACTTCGTGACATAATTCTGAAGTGCTTCGATTAACTCAATCTCGGTATATTTTTCCTCAAATTGCTCCATTATGTTGTACAAGTAAAGCCACCATTTGTATGTAGGGCCGTTCATTCGGGTGAATGTACTATTCAATAAATCCTTCCAAACATTTAATTCCATTTTTCTCCACGCGATTATTTGGTGCGTTATATTTTGAGCGTTTTCGCTCAGGCTGACACCCGAATGAGCAACTTCTTCCCATTCATTGCATTTGCTTAATAAAATCTCGAAACCTGTCAAAAAGCGAGATAAGGGACTGGTTAGGTCGAAACTGTAGACACGCTCAATGATGGTCATAATCTGGAATTTATGATAAGAATATTTGTGTAAGGGATTTGGAGAAAATTCATACCGATTTCAGGGTTGGGTGGTCGGGCCATTCGGCGAGGAGGGTCTTGGTACGCAGACGAAGCTCCTCCAAAATGTGAAACGAAGACTTCACTTCTTCGATATTTGAGTCTTTGTAAAAATCGAAACGTTTTGCTTGTAAGATTTTCACAGGAGAAGCAGGTTCGACTAAAATTTAATTAAAATATGTGTGCCACCTAGTAAAAAGAATCTTACCTAAATTATTTGTATCTCCGTAATTCTGCACGAAGCTGAGCAAGACGCTCATACTTTCCACTAAATCCTTATCCAACCGGTAGTCCAACGCCGGTAAAACTTTCCCACAAATTTGTTTAAACAATTTGTGTTTTTCAATCAAGGGATTTAGGAAATTCACAACCACAGTTTTATCTTTCTCCGGATTCAACCACTCTGTTTTTGTAAAGTTCTGCACAAGACTCACGTGCAAGTCAACAACGAATTTAATATCGTTATCTGAAATAACATCGGAGGGTTTTTTTTCAACCGATTTAATTTCGTCGTCTAAATTAGCAACTTTTCGCATGTCTGCGAAATCCTGGTCGTGGTAATTTGGGAATAATTCTCTGAGTTCGTCTTCGATTTGTTCAGTTTCGGGCTTATCGTCACATTTCGTCCTAGATTTATCGGTTGGGTCAATGAATATCAACAAAGAAATGAAAATTACCTGGTTTTGTACAAAGCGGTGGCTTCTGTCTCCGCTATCTCGCGATTTTTCTCTTGCTCATTCCACGCGTCTACAAAGGCTTTTATAAAATTTTCGAAATGTGAGAAATTTAATATTCCTGTCGAGTTTACGTCGAGGATACAATTATTAAATGTTTCTTGGATGCCGCACTTCAGGAGTCTGAAATGGAGACGGAAACTGAAGACCAAAAACACACAAATGTTTGAAGTGTCGCAGAAATATTTGCGAATATGAAAATGTTGCTACATTGGATTAAAACCAGTAAATGAGCTGAACAACATACCGAATTTAACTTGGACTAAAATGAGGGGTAAAATTTGACTGCAAAAGAGGATGAAGTAGTATTTGATAAGATTATATCAGTTCCCTTGAGAATATTGAACGATCGTATTTCATTGTAGTTTCGTCTTGTTTAGTTCAATAGTGAGAAAATGAAATGAATAAACTTTTGATAAATAAAAATGACAAATAAAAACACTAGCGTTTGTAAAATATTAATAAAATTCAAGACGTCTTTATTCACCAATAATAACAATTTTATTATCCACTCTATTTACAAATTGTAAACTTTAAAATATTTCCTACAGCTTGTGAAAATCTAATTTTGTAGGTAAGATTGATTTTGTTATTTTTTTAACAATTTTTACCTTTTGCTTTCCTTGTGGGTGTTTTAATTTTTAAAACTTAGTAAATAATTTAATAATTCAACGGGTATTCAGAACTTTTGATACACATCGTTAGTTAGTCAAAAAAACACGATAAATAAGAACAATTTTTACATTAATAAAAATTTCACTTTTATAACAATAATTTTATAAAATGATGATGGTAAAATAAACCATATTTTCTGGTTATTGAACTCTCGCTTTGTCTTGTTTAGTTCCGAAGCGAGAATACAAAACAAATAAATCTAGAATTTCTTCATAAATAATATAAATACACAGAGCGATTCAGATAAGATAATGAGCCCGACGATCTGGCGATGCAACCCAAAAAACAAATTTCATTTACGCTTTTGATCCAATTTGAATTAGGATTTGCAAGTTGAATTCAAGTTATCATCTTGTGTCACTCTGACATCAGTGCAGCGAATGATTATTAGTGCCATTCAGTTACAGAAGTCTTTTCGGTGTAAACCCAATACAAAATGTATAAACGAATAAAACAATAAAGGTAGGTAAACAGTTTTTTTTATATAAATCATAAATTGCTTGTGAAAGCACTGTCAGAGCAACAACGTGATATTGTTGAGAAATTTGGAAAAGTAGAAAACGGCAAAAGATGGGCAAAAGATAGAGTGAAGGTAAAAAAAAATAAGTAAAATTATTATTATTAAAACATTTAAGCACAAGTTTTGCACTCTTATTGTCCATTTGAAAAAGTTTTTAATTTCTTCGATTCTTGGCAAAATTTTGATGGATTTTCGGCACCTGCACAATTTTCTTGAAATATTGTCCTGTGCACTTAACAAGAAATGACCAATTTCGCGTATTAATTTCAATGTGAAAAGTTCAATTTTTTCCATGATAAAAGTATGATTTTTCAAACTCGGTCCAAGATCGTTTTGTAACTTTTTTGTTCGAAAACTAGTTACCAGGTGAATAAAAAGTGTGGAACGTTTTTTGCTTAAAGTATTTATTTTTTGAAAAAACTAATTGATGAGTGATAAACTACTATAAAAATGTGATGATTTAAAAAGAATAAAATTTTTCGAAATTTTCTTTTGTTTTTGAGTTATACAAAAAAAAAAAAATTTTAAATGGCAACCCACTATAAAATCATTTTTCTCATAAAAGCTATACTCTGAGGATTACAACTAACTGCTTTATATTTAATTTTTTCAAAAAAATTGTTTCACATAAATTGCAATTTTGACAAAAAAAAATCGCATAACTCAAAAACAAAACAAAATTTCGTTCTGAAAATACTATCACATTTTTTATATTACTTTAATTTATACAGGGCGATTCAGATAAGATAATGAGCCTGACGATCTGGCGATACAACCCAAAAAATAAATTCCATTTACGCCTTTGAACCAATTTAAATTAAGATTTGCAAGTTATCATCTTATGTCACTCTGACATCAGTGCAGAGAACGATCATTAGTGTCATTCAGCTCTCGCGGAATGATAGAGAAGTCAGATAAGTCTTTTCGGTGTAAACCCAATACAAAATGTATGAAAGAATTAAACATTAAAGGTAGGCAAACAGTTTTTTTATAAATCATAAATTGCACTGCCAGAGCAACATAAGATAACTGGGATTGCAAATGCAAATCGTAATTAAAATTAGATCAAAACGTAAATGAAATTTGTTTTTTGGGTTGCATCGTCAGAACGTCGGGCTCATTATCTTATCTGAATCACCCAGTATTAATTATTATTTTCTGGAGGCAAATGATTAAAAATAAAACCGCTTGGTTCCATACTTTATACTCACTCCTGTATATCTATTCTATTCTCAAATAAAGAGTTCACTACACAAAACAAGATATAAAAAATATTGCAATATTATAACAGTACAATTTTAAGAAATGTCATTAGTGTAAATATTTATCGTAATATGTAGCCTGGGCATTGAAACTTTGCTTCTAACTTTTAAAAGTATGTATTCGCGATTTAGCACGCACTTACCTCAATTTTTCCTTCTTAAGATTCGTCTTTTCCTCACTCCCTAGTGCATAATCGATGAACTTAAGAACTTGTGGCTTGGAGTAGCTTTCAATTAGCGATTCATAGCGAATATGTCGGCGGTCAAGACAAGGCATCCCAATCAAACTCCCGAGTTCCTCTTGCATGTCAAACCCAAACCTTCGGCATTCGTGCCTCAACAAAAGTTTTTTTACCAGTTCCAAATTGGATTTGAGACCGTACAAAAACTCGCTCACGTTACTCAAAAGAGGCTCGATGACGTCGGGATAAGACGGCCCATATTTCGACCACTCGTTGATCAGATTAGTATAACTCGAAACCGAGGACTCGTACTGTTTTAAAATTCGCTCCGAGTCTGTGCTAGACTCGCCTCTGATTAAATCCTTGACCGCAGAATCCAGACTCTGAATAATCCCGTCGACGTATCGACACGATAAAATCGTGGAAAAGCCGTGATTTACCACCTGAAAAAATTGGCCTGAACTCTGGAGAGATTAGCGAGATACTCACCTTGACGACTTCGTCGTATAACACTTCCTTGGGTCTCACAGCGACGTAATTTCCAAGTTGCTCGTTTTTGATATTTAAAGTTTTAATCATGTCGACGACGGGTTTGTAATGCGAATGCAAAGTTTTGGTATTCCCACTATAAACTTCGTTCACTTTAACAAAACTATCCCTTAAATCCTCGAAATTACCAACACTCTCAACATTGTATTTCTTTTTTAAAGCCTTCTTCGCCGAAGGGTCTATCAAGGGTAATCGCGAGTTGAGAATGGCTTTAGCATAGCTCAACTCCATATGCATGTCGTAGACGTACAAAAGACTCAAGTGGAACTCCTCACACGAATTTAAACCAACATAAATCTTCGCACAGTTCCTCAAATGGACCAAAAACGAGTCACTTAACTCATCAGTGTTCAACTCATCCAATTCCTTCAAACAAACATCCACTAATTGAATAAAACTGTCACTTTTTACGCCCAAACTCTCGGATATTATCCCAATGAACGATTCAAAGCTTTCGCAAATAAATTTGCGCTCGTTTGAACAATAATCATAGGCGTTTTCGTGAAACTGGTGCAAATTTCGCCACAAAATTAGACTCAATTGGCGATGCTGTTTCATCAGTTCGCGGAAATTTCCGAATTTGGTTATAGCTGAATTGGTAGTACTGACCAAAAGCGAGCTCAAATTATGGGTCAAAACTGGACAAAAACCGGCCAAATCACACTTCGACAAATACGAAAAAAATGATTGGAATAAATTGTGACAAATTCGGACGTCTTTACTCCTATTGTAACGCAAAAAACTGGCCACTAAATCAATCGGGAGAGTCAAACACGACTTAAATTCTTGTTCTTCGACACTTGTCGAGGATAATAAATTATTTTTCAATTGCAACTTGACCAAAAAATCAAGTACAGGGAGCAAATCCAATTCATATTCGTTCAAACTCATTTCAGTGTTTTCAAAACTATCTTCAATCATTTTGATTTCGTTGATTTTCCGGTCTAGATCCATCTCGTTATCTAACATCAAACTGATAATTTTGCTCCTCAAATCTGCGTGTTTTAAACTGTCAAATTTCCTTAAAGCATTTCCATAACATGCAGCTAAATCAATTTCTAAACTACTGACTTTCGGTGGTGGTTTATGACTAAATTTCTGAAATCTCTTGCTAAATTTATGAAGTAAAGAGAATTGTTTCTCTAGACTTTTATTAATCTTTTCTAAAACATCTCCCAGTTCGCTCGACAATTGTTTGTTCAAAATTAATTTCACCGTGTTTACCGAGTATTTCAGGAACCATCGATAATGTACTTTGAGATTTGTGAGAGTGAGATAACGTTGATTTGGGTCAATTTTTCTCACATTTATAACAGTGCAGCGGTGAAAAATAAACCTCCAGGTTAATAATTCGAGGATTTTAATTACGTCGTCGTCGCTTAATTCAATTTTATCTTTGAGGATTCCGAGTAGGAAATTATCGTATGATTCAATTAAATTTAAAAATTCGTCAATTAAAACATCATCGAATTGGTCGTCAAGTGTGTTTTGCCGTCTTCGAGTCATATAGTCACGAAGTGAGACTTGACCCGACTTTTTCTTCTCTTTTTTGTCAAACTCCAACTGCTCTTTCTTACAGTTTGCAATAAAATGCAGACTAAGGATTAGTTTGTTGCTTGTAAAACAAGATCTCCCCCAGTAATTAGTTTCAGGAATCCATCGTGAGTCAATTGGGAAGTCTTTAAAGTCTGTTGGGAAACTCTTGATGAAGTTATACATTATTTGAGAAACATCAGATAAATCCCTTCGATTATTATCAATTAAATTGGTATAATACTGAAAGCGTAAATCCAAGTCATGTTTGCTGGTAATACTGTAGAAATGAATCAGTAAATATTTCCCCAGATTATTAATAACTCCGTGAAATTTATTTTGTTCTAGCATCTGGTGTAAAGAAGCCGCTTGCTGTTTAATTTTCTCCAAATCCGCTCCGACGTGAAATTTATCCGTTTTTAAAGTGACTCCATCGTAAAATTGTTGTTTTGTCGGTTTATCCAGCGCGAGCACCTTTCCAATTTCGGTTTTAATAACCGTATCGAAATCATTGCAACTGAACTCCATGTTGGCGCGCGTTTTGTAATAAATTTCCATCATCGTGTTGTAGAATGCGTCGACTTGATTCGTGCCGTGTTGGATTTGTTGGGAAATTAGAGCCGATGCGCGTAATAATTCGTTTACATTTGGTTTTTCGCCCAAAATCAAATCACTGGTAAAATCATGCAAATGTAACAGAGAATCAATGTGGTTAATATTTTTCAATCCCTCGCGGCTTATTAGGCTTTTTATATCGAGAGTGTTTCGGTATTCATTTTCTTTCTCATTGAGCATGTAAATTTCAACGCCTCGGTTCCTCATGGCCCTAAATAAATCCGAAGCGGTTAATGAACGCCACGTGGGAGTTACGAGTCGTTTGAGTTTCAACAAAAATTTAATCACTGATTTTTACGGAAGCTAATACATCGACCATGTGTTGATGAATTATTATGCGGTAGTAACCGTCTATGAAATTAACTTTTTGTTTGAGTTAGACTAAATATCCATAAAATCAAATACAATACATACAAAACAAATAAAAAATATTTATATACTCCTATTTCAAAAATGGTGGATGCGCCGGGCAAACTTTATATCATTTAATAGGAAAATATCAATTTAGCTTTAATGTTCTTTACTAATTACACTAAAAGACAACAATAAAGCCAAACAATAAAATTTCAATAATTTAGTTTTTAATTTTCAATAATTTAAATTTGTTTGCGTTTTGCTATCTTTGTGGATAACCTCTGCGTAATTGTTTAAAAAAGTATATTCTTATTAACAAAGATTTTTGATTTCACATTTAAAAAACAACAAAAAAAACACAATAAGTGAGAGCAATCTTAATATTAACAGCCAAAAAGTTGGGATAAAATAACTTGATTTGTTGAATTAAAATTTCAAGCAGTATTGTCATTTTCATGATGTAAACTCTAAAACGACCTTTACATTAATAACCTCAGTTTTAACTCTTGTCATGTTTATGTCATTTTGACTTAGGTATTTACTTTCAAAAATATTGATTTTAGGCTTAATAACGGGAAGGCAGATCAAAGCGATGATTTAATTACACTTAGTTCAATTAATAAATTTCCTAAGACATTTAATTAACAATTTTAACAACAAAAAAAAAGTTTAAATGTCAAATGTCAGTCATGATGACACTAAAGGTAGTTTACAGTGGACACTGGACAGTTTAAAGTGACAGAAAAATACTGCCCAAAATTTGAATTCCACAACTGTACCTAAATCATATTTTTGATTAACTAAATTTTTAATTTACATATTTATGCATAGAAAGTTAACAATAATAATTAATAATTATCGAACTAACTTTTGACAAATTGTAAACTTGAAAATATTTCCTACAACTTGTATTTCTTCGTTTCTTTTAATTTTTTTATTTTTTCA